AATTTCTTGTTTTCAATTACTTTTGGCTTAACAGTTATAGCCGGTTTCTTAAAACCTGCATCATTATCAGTTAGGTCAGAGTCAGTATGTTCCATTTTACGTTTGCTATTGCCTGCACCACGTGCAACAGAATTAGGCTTAGCAGACTCATTATTCGCATCGTTAGTAACACATTTATTAAAATCGGCCAATTTGCAAGTACTTGCTAAGTAAAATTTGCACTTACCTTCCAAGTCCTTGATTTGTTGAGAGACTATTTGTATTCCAGGTAAGAATCCAGATGTAAGAGTATCCAGTTTAGTACAGTAACGTTGAGCAAGACCTTCTAATAACATTTGTTTTAAAACATCACATTTTTTTTCAGAAATTTAACAGAAATTTTTAACAGAAATTTTCTCTAAAGTGGCATTATAATCAAAGTCCAAAAGAGTAGTAAAATCCTGTCGAGAGTCCAAGTCGTTATTTCACAGTTTATATACTCATCATCGTCACAAGTCCGATCAGCCCAGGAAACTTGGGTAGGTTGCGGCGGAAAAGCATCATCGCCCGCCGGAGCACGGTCGCTCTCTATATCGAAGCAATCAGAACGAACACCTAAACGCTACGTGTCTAGAGCGCATATATTCCAAGTTCCTCTTTTGTCCTGATTATCAAGCAAAATGCATGATTTGTTCCGGCTGTCATCTAGTGATTGCACAAAGGGCGCAGAAGGTAGACTGACTTTGCACCGTAGGTCCAAAAGGGCAGGAGCTGATGGTGAAAGGGGTGTGACAGCTTGTCACATTAGCTGTAAGCAGACATGGCATTGGTTGCGGGATTCCCAGGGAATTCTGCAAAGTTCAACAGGAAAGTTAACAAGAGATAATGATAGAGAGTGCGTAGGTCACGTGGGTGGTCACCCACCCAAGTGAAGGTTTAGACGCATGATGCTTGTGTTTTGTAACTTCACAGGAATGTTACAGCAGTAATCAAGTGGGAAAGTCATGATTTTTCTTTAATAAATATGCAGCATAGGGACGAAATCTGTTCTCATCTAAAATCTCATAATTGAACGGTTTAAAGTCTTTGAGATGATCACAGTTAACTCCGTTAAAGAAGCTCCGTTAAAGAAGTTAGTATTGATTGTATGGATGAATTTTTCCAGAGGATCAATTTTCAAATCATTATGCAACACTTGATTCCGAACAAAAAAGGGTGCATTCGTCATGATTCTGAGGAATTTATTTTGTACTGTCTGAAGCTTTCGGATGTCCTTTGTTGTTGCAGCGGCCCAAGCAGGTGCAGAGTATGTCATTATCGGTCTTACTGTTGAAAGATAAATCAGTCTTTTTTTCTGGAAGCTCAGTTTGGAGTACTTCCCAATGATTGGAGAGAGGCATTTCATAACTCTCAATGCTTGGTTTCGGACGTTTTGAATATGAGTATTCCAAGTTAGCCGGCTGTTAATTGTGATACCAATCTTTACTGACAATAGGCACAGGTTCGTTCAAAAAGTACAAGTCCTTCTTTAGGGGAGCATTTCTCTTTTTCTTTTTCCCAATGAGAAGCTGCGATTTTTGTGAGTTAATTCGCACTTTCCAGCGCTTGCACCATTCTTCAATGAAAGGAACACTGTCTTGCAGTTTCTTAATTGCATGATTAATATTTGCTGACCTAATTGCAAGAGCAGTGTCGTCAGCATAGCATGCTAGAATCGCACTATTATTGTAGTGGATTTTCGGGAAGTCAGCAACATAATATAAATAAAGAATCGGCCCAAGGACAGAACCCTGTGGAATATCGCTTTGCATACATCTCACGGTGGAGAGAGTGTCTCCTACAGAGACTCTAAAAGTTCTGCTGGAAATAAATGAAAGAATCACAAAGATCATTTCTCTTTCAAAATTTTGGTCAATGAACTTGGAAATTAGTCCCTCATGCCAGACGCGGTGGAACGCTTTCGCCACATCTAGCATGAGGATAGCTGTATTAAAATTCAAGTGGATTGCTTGGCCTACAAATTCAGTAATTCTCACGAATTGCTTTGTTGTAGATAGCTGCTTACGGAAGCCAAATTGCTCCGAAGTTGTCTAAAGTGAGATTTCATCCTTGGTAGTAGCTCACCTGATGATAACCTGACCTCAAGTCAATAATAGTTGACATATAAGGTGTCCGTTTTGTTTCATTCAACAGATCGTCTATGCTTGACAAAGGATAAGTGTCTGGAACGGTCTGAGCATTGAAGGTTACGATAAGCAATGCATAACCGTCCTTTTTCCGCCTTTCAAAAAAAGAGAAGTCGCGAGTGGGAGGGCGCTGCGAGCAAGGGCCGTTCGCACGCTGTAAAAAGTGAAAATTTTCCTTTCCTCTTGTGATTATCAATTAAATTTCTTTGAAAAATTTTTTTTTCCTCTACAAAACCTATATCTTTTCCAATGAATTTTCGGCTCCGATGTTGACGAGAATAAAACAGCGGACAATGTAAGGATATACTTCAAAAGACTGGAATTTTAAGATAAGTACTTTTCTTTCATCTAAACTAAATCAAATTTCTATAAATAAGTGCCTTTAAATCAATAAATCTTAATTTTTCATCAGTTTAAAGCATTAAAAAATACTTGAAATTGCCATTGCTTGTGGCTTCCTTTGTGTATCAACTCGAAACAGACGCCAGCGTTATCAGTTCACCTCTGTCAACACTTACAAAGCCCCCCCCTTATCTTGGAAGAATCTCGAGAGAGGGAAATTTGGGGATGCATCGCGCTATTTCCCTCTCGGATCTTCTGGATTCTCTTCCCTTTTTCTAGATCGCTTGAATATAGTTTTCGCCTTTAAATAATATTATACCTCACCGATTTTTTCTCATACTGTTCTTTGCTATCTGTTAAATGTCCATATGTAAGGGATGGTTTATTCTTCACCGCCTTAAATAAATTTTTAGAACTATGAGCTTATATAAATAACAGTGTGCCTCATTGTGTTATATTAACACATTATTAACTAGTAATAAATTATGATAGTAAAATAATTAATCTTGTAATAAATTATGATAGTTAAATTAATAAATACTGTTTAATTTGTGTTTTTAATACATATACTCAGTTATTTACACACATATATATATATATATTTTTTTTATTTGTTTTGGGTGTATGCGGTTGTGGTCTTGTATTGTATATGGTTCTATGTTGTTAGTCTGCTGCTGCTTTTTTGAAAAATGTATGAAAATGTTGAGAAATGAAAGTAGCATAAGTTACTTTGGTTAAATTAATATATACTTTTGTTGATTTTATGGGACTTTTGTGTTGATATCTCAGGATGCAAGCATACATATTACTTTATATTCCATGCTAAATACCTTGATACGAAGCATTTTAACACTGTCACCTTCCCCCCCAGCATGATATCTATTCAGCATTACCATACACACCCACCTGTCAGACACTATTTATTGTAAATGAAGAAAGCTTCTTCACCTTTTAGCTACACTCATGGACACAATCGTTTACTTTAGGACATTTTCTACTTCTTTTCCTTTCCTTTCTATAGGCCATTTTTCCCCCCTCTATTATTTTTGAGCCATTTATTTTAAATTTTATTTCGTCCCATTTTTTATTCCTGGCATTTTGAGCTCGTACAAAATGTACGAAGTTCCTTTTTACTCTCTTCTGATATATGAAATTGTTCCCCTTTCTAATATATACCTTTCCTTAGCACCTAAGCTTGATTTTTCGCCCATCGGTGCAGAAAGACTTAGTGGGTGCAAAACAAGACATCTGTCTACTTTGCCTGTCTGTCTGTCCCTCTCCCTCTATTACATTTGGGCCATTTATTTTAATTTTATTTTGCCCCATCTTTTCTTTCTGGCTCTTCGAATTCGTATAAAATTGTACGAAGTTCCTCTGAAGCTCGAAATTGCCCTTTTTCTATATCCGCAATTCCAGCGCTCTGATACACCATCTAATGGCTAAAAGGTGGAAACATTAAAAATCGGTATTTACGTTTGACAATATTACGTAGTTTGTGAAGCGTGTTACGATCGAAAAGTAATTAAAAGTTTATTTTTTATTGTTGTGGGTATTATGTGTTCAGTCGTTTTAACCACTTGCAGGACAAATCTAAAGAAAATGCTTGTAATATCATGTAATCAAAAGTTAACTACATGTTATATGCCGGGATTGCTTTCTCAAGTACTGAGGTAGGTAATACTTAATCTGCTCTTTTTTTTTTTGGAATGTTTGGTCATGGTATTATTCATTGCATGTATTTTCTATAATACATATAGAATACTAATATTTCTATTACAAATGTCTTTTTTCATTTTTAAGTGCTTTGCTTGTTGATATTCTCAAAATTGCATCTGATAATTAGTGCTATTATGTATATAATAGATATAAATACAATAGACGAATATGATAGATCAATAAATTTTTAGGTATATAATGATTCAATGTCATTTTTATGGAAAAAAAAGACACTTTTGAACTGCACAGATTTTCTGTAAATCCCAAGTTAAACGCATATGAAAATCATTTGATTTATGATCAGTGAACGTTAAAATCAGCTACATGTCGCAATACAATAAAACAGTGACACAGCAATTTCCTACAACAGCCAGCAGTTCCTTCCTTTACATGAACAAGAAAATGTTTTTTTTTATAAAAAATTTACTTCTCCTTTTTAACAAGGAAATGTCCTTCGATTTCATGCGATCAGGAGGCTATACAACTTATCCTTAAATAGGAAGCAAAAATTTGTAAATTGGATTTTTCAAGTAAAATTCTGTGCATTACCAAATAATCCGCTTTTTAAAATTCGCTCTGCTTCAGCAACACAGCGTGAATTTACGCCTCCTTGAACAAAATCAAACATTTCGGAAAAGCTAAGCAACTCCATTTTTGAATGCACGAAGTCAGATCACAAATAAAAATATCGGTTTTTATCCGCACATTAATGTGTGAAAGCGCCACCTATAGCTGAATTGAATCGCAGATACCTTTCCTTCGCACCTAATAAGCTTGATTTTTCGCCATCGGAGGAGAAAGATTTAGCGGGTGCAAAACAAGACATCTGTCTATTTTTGTCTGTGTGTCTGTCTATTTTGCACGTTCTGCTTTGATTCTACTGAGAAGAATAGGTAAGAATTTTTAATTTGCAATTTTAGGCTGCATTTCATGTTTCATATCTTCCACTAAGAAAAATAGTTAGTAAACGTTGTGATTATCATCGTTATTAACGCATTTTTCTGTTTCTGTTTTGCAACGTATATAATGGATGCATTAAAGTTTTAGTGTAAAACAGATCCTAATCCATTCATCAGTTACCAATGGAGAATGTGTTATGATGTGTTTTGTAAAATGTGCTAGTTATTGTATCCATCTTGTACTTAGGTGGAATGCTTTTACATTCTTTTTGGGTAGAGTAGACTTTAAGGTACCCCTTGTATAATGGCGAAGTTGTTTGATTTATCGCCAAGTTGTTTCATTCATGGTAGCCTGTGTAGTTGAATGTTATGGAAACCCTATTGTGACGTAATCGGGTGCATGATTCTGGGAAATTTTGAATCATGGGGATGTTTTGTAAGCGTTTTTGTGGTGAGTGTTGGTTTGATTCTTTAGAAGGTAGAATGGCCGAATGTAGTAAGATTAATTTGAAGTTTCGGCTTTGAGTTTCTCTCCAAGTGCATGATTAAAAATAACTTGCTCAATAATTGGTTATATTTTTGAAATGTGAAAGTGGGATTTTTCGTACAAAATGATTTTAATTTGATGAATCATAAAAGTCGCTAATTCGGACACCCATAATCTGGAATGATCTATAATCCGGATGTTTTTATTTTATTCGGCTTATAATTCCTTACTAAATGTAGTATTTCATCTCGATGTACTCCGTCTTTGATATGATTTAAATCAAATTCCTCGTCATTATAATTCGCTTCCGATAGCGAAGAAAATGACAGAGGTTATTGAAAACGAAAAATTTCGATTGAGAAATTAGTCGGTATTCTCGACACAGCAATTATAGGACTTGAACAGTGGAACTTTGTAACTGAACAAGAAATTATGTCTATTTATAGAATTAAAGAGAATGTATTATCACATAAAAAAGGAAGGAAATTAAACAACTTACGTTGAAAGAAATGTTTAATAAAGTAAACAAATAAATATTAAGGGTTTTTTTTTTTTTTTTTTTTTTTTTTTTGTAAATTTTGATACCCTTTAAATCATAATTGTTCTTTATTTCATAAATTACGGTTTCATATTTTTAATTTTATAATTTCTGCATGCCATCTTACAAGATTTAAACTGATGATCTATAATCCGGAATCGCCGAAGTCCCGACGAGTCTGGATTAACGACTTTTGACTGTATAAAAAAATGTGGCACTGCTTTAGCAAAATATCAAAATAGATAAGTATTCCAAGATTCCAGGGAAGATTTTTAAAATTTTATTGTTATTAGTGAAAATAAGTTTTGTCAAAAATTTTGAATTAATGTTAAGAATTTTGAAATTATTTTATAATTAATATTGTTTAAAAATTTGAATATTTAAGAATTTTATGAGTCATTATTTTGAAAATGATGTCTAGAATGAAGTATAAATGACATAATTATTAAATGGCAGAATGCTAGAATATTGCTAAAATTAATATACAAATATCCAAAGATTTAAGGAAATTGAATAATAGGTAATGAAATTTATATCCAGAATTTAATTATGAAGTACAAAGTGTTTTAAAATTTGTTTAGGAATTATGGTAAATGAAATGTTATAATTATCAATAAGTTGTCTGTTAAATAGGAAGTTATGAGGGAGTACTTGGTTCAGAAACAGAGGCTTGTTTTACCTCTGCATAATTGTTTCTTTTACCCTCGTCATGTAATATAATATAAACTTTGAAGGCTCTCACTTTATTTATTATATAGAATTTTTATTTTTTCATATGGAGTGTGATTTTTTTTAATATAATGGGATGCTGTAACACAGTTCTCTAACCACTCATGAAAAGTTAATACACGAATCTGTTTAAAATGGATTTGCCCAAATAGCTGGATGTGTGTACTAGGAGAAAGCTGTGAGATCTAGTTTGTGCAAAATAAGAAAATTGTAAAATGTAGTTATAAAAGTGAAAACCATAATTTCAGTCATGCTATTACAAATGATAAAGTATTACTTATAAATGTGAAAATTGGTTTAAATTTGAAGATTTATGATCATTCATAATAACTAATGGGTATATAAAATTTTTATAATTGTGATATTGTGTGTAAAAATTTTTGGAAATCCTTCCCTGAAATATCAAAATTGTGATGTGAATGTTCCAGAAAAAAGAACTTTCTATAGATTGGACTCAAATCACCATAGGACTTTAAAAATTATTATTGAACTCAAAATTTTATGTATTATAATTTTATTGTTCAAAAGCTAATAGTATATTTTGTATGTTTCAAAATTATGTCTGTCATATTTTTGCTACTCTAATGCTTTTTCTCTCAAAAAGGCTTCTCTACGAGGTTATTCAATAAGTTCGCAGAACGGAAATGAAGGAACCAATTTTTATTTGTAAAAATGACTTTATTTTTCAACATAGTTTCCCTCAACTTCAATACACTTATTCCAACAGTCTTCTAATTTATGGATCCCTAGACTGTAGTGGTTTTTCGGCAGCTCTGCAAAATATCCCTCCATGGCAGCTATTATCTCTTCGTTTGAAGAAAATCGTTTTCTACGGAGATATTGTTTGAGGTGTGGGAAGAGCCAGAAGTCGGAGGGAGCTAAATCTGGCGAATAGGCTGGATGTTGCAATAATTCATACTTCAATTCAGTTATTTTAGCAATGGTTTTTTCAGCTGTGTGCGCAGGTGCGTTATCTTGGTGGAAAATGATTTAATCCGGGTCTTCTTTCACGAATTTTTTAATTGATTCAGAAGGTTACAATAATAATCCAAGTTGATTGTTTTGCCAGTTTGAAGGTAATCTATAAACAAAATTCCTTTCGCATCTCAAAAAACTGATGCTAACACCTTCTTGGCTGATTTTTGCACACGAATTCGCTTCGGCGCCGAAGAGCCAGGTTCACACCACTCCTTAGCCTCCTGTTTTGATTCAGGATTATGATGGTAGACCCAAGTCTCATCCATTGTGATAAATCGACGGATAAAGTCACTTTTAATTCTTCTTAAAACACTCCAAATGTTGCTGGCAAAGTCGCATCCGAATATGTTTTTGCTCCATCGTTAGAGAATGCAGCACTCATTTTGCACAGAGTTTTTTGAAACCCAAATTAACACTCAAAATATTGCTCACTGTGCCCAATAAAATACCTAAAGCCTCTGTTAAATCTCTTTTAGTCAATCAACGGTCTTCCAATACCATATCTTGTATTTTTCCGATGATTTCCGGTGTTGATGCAGTTTTTGGATGTTCCTCTCACGGATCGTCTTCAAGGCTGGTACGACCACTTTTGAATAAACTAGCCCACTTGTTTATTCTAAACCGCACAAACCATTGTTTTTGAAGGAGCAGATTCACCCAACACATTCACCATTTCGATATGAATTTCCATTGCCTTTAAACCTTTCTTTACAAAGAATTTGATAACTGCACGTTGCTCAATTTTATCCATACCTGAAAAAAGGCACAACATGTTAGATATAAAGGGCGGTTAAACAATGAATAAATTAACAGATCGAAATGAAACTTTTTACCTGTTCCTAAGAAAGAACAAATATGAAAATGGTATCGAAGGTTTAGGTCTAATATTGATAAATAGATGGCACTCCGCGAACTTATTGAACTTGTATATCTTCTTCAAAAAGGCTTCTCGCGCTCTCTTTTCTTTTGAAAGGGGGAATGTGTAAAATAAAAAATATGAAAGCAAACTTCTAAATTTAATTTATTATAACTTCTTTTGTTTTATTTGGGAACTTTCTCTATCTGTCCTAAAAATAGCGCTTAAGTATAAACTGCATCATTCAAATTAATCATGTGATCTTACATAACCCTTAATGCAGATGCCTCTTGACCAATCAGGCAAATTGCAAACCAAAACTTTTCTCTTCACGTGCTTCCATTTTGCATAACTACGCACTTCAGCTTTGCTCTCTACTCTGCTAAGATGCAATTTCACTAGCTTGCTTTCTATCTCAACAATATCAAAAATGTAAATCTTCTGTGAAAAGGCACCACTTGGCACCATTACTTGGCACTTGGAAATAACAATGGAATTAAAATTGCATCGACTGCCAAGTTCATTAGATACTACGCACCCAAATTTCTTCTTCAATATGAATCTAAGCACGCTTCGACAATGCTCCGTCTTTTCCTTGTGCTTTTTACTATTTCATATACAGTACAAAGTTTAATCCGGACTTGTCGGGACTTCGGCGATTCCGGATTAGGGGTTTTTCCGAAATATAGATCATCAATTTAAATCTGGTAAGTTGGCATGCAGAAATTATAAAATTAAAAATATGAAACCGTAATTTATGAAATAAAGAGCAATTATGATCTAAAGGGTATCAAAATTTACAAAAAAAAAAAAAAAAAAAAAAAGCTTAATATTTATTTGTTTACTTTATAAAACATTACTTTCAACGCGCGCATGCATAAAGCATACATTACACGTAGTCGAAATTAGAAAATTGCAACCAGAAAACTATTTGATGTGTATTCGTGTGACGAGGAATTTGATTTAAATCATATCAAAGACGGAGTACATCGAGATGAAATACTACATTTAGTAAGGAATTATAAGCCGAATAAAATAAAAACATCTGCCCTGAAGATGAGGATAGTGCTGCCAGATCAACTTCCAGTTCATTGTGGGCCACTACGTCCCACACTATTGACAACAAGGAACTGGCACAACTACTGAGGTAATAAACCAGTTACTTGCTGCTACTGGCAAGCAAATCTTTTGTAAAAGTTTAGGCAGACGGAGAAGGACTATATGCCTGCAGTCCTGTTGTGCATTCCATTGTCTAGATGGAACGGTTTCACCCGTTTGCAGTGGTGTCATCAGCAACTGGAGGTAAGATTTCTAGGTTTGTGATTCTCAAAAAAGAGTAGGTTCAGTCTGCCATTGGATTGTAGATGAGAGTTGATCTGGTGTGAGAGTGGCACTGCGGCAAATAT